AGAAGTAGGGAAAAACACTTCTTTCGTGCTCTACCGCTTCCTGCGTGCTTTACAACAGAACAGAGCACAGTCGAGGCTTCTTTATTTGTTAATTCATGTTCTCTAAGCTTGCGTATTTTACAGAAAATAGAAAAATAGCATCTGCAGGTAAACATAAGTTTTTGTTACGAGAACTTCCCCCTGTCAGTTCTTCCTTCATGTAGTGTATATTTTAGATGTTTGTCATCGAAAGTTAACTTGACTGAATACATCTCTTCTCCTGTAAACAGACTGGCGGGTTTTACAACTATGTTCTTCTTGATGGTGTTCAAGAGGCGGAAAAACAAGAAGCAACATTTTGCAATGTTGGTGATCAGCATTACCACCTTGGGGAGCTTGACAAAGCGTTACATTGTCACCAAGAACATCTCAAAACTGTTAAACTGGAAGACAAAGCTGGAAAGGAGAGTATGTATGAGAGGCTTGGCAAAGACTTTCTTGAACTCGAAGATTTTCAAATGGCCTTAAGATTCCACTTTAAGCAACAAAGCATTGCCCTGGAAATGAAAGACAGGGCTATGGAGAGTAGAGCTAGTGAAAATCTTGGCAACACTTATTACAGAATGGGTAATTTTAAAGCAGCCATTGCATTTTACAGCACGTTTTTACAAATTGCAGAAGAAAGAGGGGACAAGGCCGAAATTGGAAGAGCCGAAAGTTATCTTAGCAACAGTTGTAGACATGCCGGTGCTCATGAAGATGCCATTCTACACCACTGCCGTGATCTAAGTATTGCCAGAAATAGAGGAGACAAAGCAGGTGAAGGGGTTGCACACGGCAACCTTGGTAATATTTATTTTAGCCTGGGTCTGTTTGAGAAAGCCATAGAATGCCAACAGCTGCATTTAAATTTGGCCAAAGAAGTTGGTGACAGTGTGGAGGAAGGAAAAGCATGGTATGAATTAGGTTATGGCTATGAATCGCTGGATAAATTTGATCAAGCCCTGGATTGTTTCCGGTCCAGTTTAAAGCAGTTTGAGAAATTAAGAAACCTTAGTCCGTCAAATGACGATTGGAAAATTAATTTGCAAAACGAATACAATCCTGTGAACATTGCTGTGTGGAGAATTCTGCTAAAACAAAGGAAGTTTAGCGAAGCTCTTTCTGCTGCCGAGAAAGGACGTGCTCCGGCTTTGAAGGATCTTTTGAAATCCAACAATGGGTCTGGAACAGCTCAGTCTGTGTTAGGTGGAGAGGAAGATATATTTCCTCATGTGCTATCGCATCTTTCATCAACTACCATTTTTCTTGCAATCGACGGAAAAGAAATTAATATCTGGGTTTTGCTCAAAGGCAGCGGTGGCCTGCATTTTGAAAAAAGCGAACTCGGTGAGAGAAGCCTAGAAGAAGGTGTCGCGTTGTCGTTTGCTTCGTTAACACGCGCTGCCTATCCTCTTACTGAAGACGAAATTCGTTTCCTGAACGCTGAAGAGGCTGAACAACGAGCACAGCAAATGGAGAACGCGTTGGGAATTTTGTATGAGGTCGTGATAAGCCCAGTTGCACATTTACTTCAAGGAGAGAGAGAATTAATCATAGTCCCAGATGGCCCATTGTGTGTAGCTCCTTTTGCTGCATTTTCATTTCTGGACCCTAATTCTAAAAGAATTAGCTACTTGTGTGAATGTTTCACAATCCGAGTCATTCCTTCGCTGACTAGTTTACAACTGATTGCTGATTCCAAAGAGCATAGCAGTAGAAAAGATGCACTTCTCGTGGGTAATCCGTGTTTGAAAGAGATTGTTTTCAACAAGCCATGGAACTGGGAGTTGCCAGATGCTGAAGAGGAAGTAAGGCATATTGGGAGAATTCTCAATAGTGAACCCCTCATTGGAGAGGCCGCAACAAAAGAGGAAGTTTTGACGCGCCTCAAGTCAACATCTTACCCCTTGGTACACATCGCTGCAAAAGGTGCAGACGGCGAAATTTTTTTGGCCCCGAACCCTACAAGGAAATCTCTAGAACCAGAGGAGGATGACTATAAGTTGACGATTGCAGATGTGATGAGTATTCAGGTGCATGCACATCTAGTCGTGTTATCTTGCTGTCATAGCATACAAGGAACCATAAAATCAGAAGGTGTAGTTGGTTTTGCTCGGGCCTTTCTGGCTAAAGGCGCTCGTTGTGTTTTGGTGTCATCATGGGAGATTAAAGACAAGGCTACTCTGGAACTCATGAAGAAATTCTACGAACACTTGGTAGGAGGACAAAAGGCCAGTGTTGCTTTGAATCAGGCCATGAAGTATCTTAAAGAATCAACGAAGTTTGGTGCCGTCAAATACTGGGCTGCCTTTCAACTGATTGGTGACGATGTCACGTTGGAAATTGAAGACGAGAAATGAAAGCTGTACGTGGTAAGTTTGTAAAAACTGCTTTAAATGTCATTTATAGTCCAAGTACGTACAACTGAGTTTTTAACCGTTGATAACGACTTTCAGTTAACCCTTCGAACTTTTCAGGGCTTAAAATGTTGTGTTTGGTAGGGGTGCTCCCCATTATGGAACTTTGATTAATTGCGCCTTTACGCAAAATATTCTTTATATCTTCGTTGTTCTATTGGAAGATTGGAACTGAAGGTGGTAGAACTTGGGGACTTGAAATTAAAAATTATATGTTTTAGTAAAATTATTATTGGCATTATTCGTTTCTCATTATTGCTATCATCCTTTCTCTTGATTTCTATAGTTTCGACTAACCTCAAATCTTGACAACTCTTGGGCGAAGCATCCTTGTACTTCAAGCTGGTTTCAAGATGAAAACGATGCGCTTGGCTCATATACTCTGGCCACTGTCATGTTATCTGTAGCTGACAAGAACAGTCTGGACGAGTCATACGCGGTACGAGGCTATCACAATAATCGCTCAAAATTTTAGTGAGACTTTCTAAAGAAACGACGGTGTTATAATCCAGTACCTGAACTATCCCTTCCTCGCCGCGGAGATTTCAGGGAATTGACTTAGTAACTGTTGAATTATTTAGTTTAGCCGAAAATAAATAGAGAGTGGCATCAACTCCTTTGGTAAATCCTCGTTGAAGTACCTAAAGAGTCCCCGTTTCTTTTCGCCAATCAGGACGAGCCTGGGCACTCCGGACGTTTTCACGTGTGCTAATATCACACTTCAATAAATACCTCTTCCTACATAGAATAGCCACTGATAAAATAAGTAGGCTCATGCAGTTAACTTCTTAGGCAAGATTCCAGCCGAAAAATATGCTCTTTCCACCACTACTTGAATTATCATCCATTTACAGTATAGAGCAGTTTGCAATTGAGCGACGTGAAACCAAAACTAAAGTAATCACTCTAGCGAATCAGAAAGGACAAAGACAATACAGTGAACCAATCAAAACTAGAAGTAATTACATGTAGCAGACGCAAAGTGCAGGAAAATGATTTTTACTTCTGATTGGATGAAAAAGTGGCGCATGTTTATTAAGCCAATCGTGTAGCGTAGTTGAGGCAAATCCATTTACTTTTCGACACTCAAAAGAAAACCGCTCAAACCACCCATCGGTAGGCTTTTCGTGGATGACGTTTCAGGTGCGAACAAACGTTTCAATTCGGGCCCTGAACCACAAGCAGAATTTGATCTATTGAGCAAAAGAAAAAGGAGGCACGGAAAATGAAAGAACAAACCAAACCAAAAATTCTACAACCCAAAGAATAAGACAAAGTAACTTAATAAATGAATGATTCACGGCATTTCTCGAACAGTTCGCAGTCAGAACTGTCCTACTTGTTCGTGTTTCAGCAGTCATTTAATTGCTCCATTCGCCATTTAGGCATGCAGCGATTTTTTTTTTCTTTAGAAGTTAATATGTTTCTTAGGTAGTGGCCTGTAAATAGATTCTACAAACTGATTTCGTAAAATTGTTAATATTAATCAACCGCTCTATAATAAGCAATTAGATTATGAGCTCGAGATTTCTATTGCGTGATAGTTGAGGAGGGCGCAGCCCGAGTCAACTATCACGCATAGAAATCGAGAGCGAATAATCTAATTGTTTTAGTATAAATCCACTAGTCGTTCAAAACTTTGTCTAAATCCTCTTCACAGACACTTCGAAAACGCCAAGAAGCGGTCTTCATCTTGTTAACAAGCGCACACTGCTACGCTACTCACAATCTATTACAGATTATAGTTCACCACTAAATTTTCTCCGATTCTTATTGGTTTAAACTGATCACGTGACGCAATAGT